TAATTCTAATTTGTTTGAAAAGTTTTTTTTCCAAATTTTAAACAATTAGTTTAGGAAAAAAAACTAATTTATTAGTTTAATCTGCATAATAAATTCAAGCTGCATTTTTTATAATAAATCCCAGTGTTTTAATAAAACATGTTCAAACTGCCTAAAAATTTAACACGAGCTTTATTTTGACATCTAAATTAACTCTTTAAAATTTGACAAACATTTTTCAAACTTAATTAGAGTTGTTGAGGTTTATGTGATTTGCATAATAACTTCAGACGGACTGTAGTTACATTTTGAAAACCTAAAAACAATTGATTTTGATAAAATCTAAACAAGTACCTCAAGGTATATTAAAAATACATCTCCTGTCTGGGTTTAGTGAGAACTGATAAAAATTATGATTTCCAGGTCTGTACATTCATAAATTTTCCAATTTGCTCAACTTCAGTTTTTTCTGGGGTTTTTTTTCTTCCTCTACACACACTACACTTGATCAGAAAATGTCAAACACTTTCCAAGTTTAACCATGATACATTCCTGGGTTTTGTAAATCCAAATTTTCAAAAGTATGTACTAAGGGCAACTTAAATGTATTTAACTTTATTCCTAGTTGTATTGATTTTTAAGGAAAATTCAAAGCAAATGAATATTTTTTTCACAAAAAGGTTAAGATGAAGAAGAGACTTGAAGCAACAGAAATGTGGCTCTACAGAAGGATGATGAGGATACCATGGATGGAACATGTGTGCAACAATAAGGTTTTATAGGAAATGGAAACAAAAAGGAAACTCATATTTAACATCAGGAAGAGGGAGTTGAAATTTCTAATGAGGAAGGAATGCTTGGAAAATCTGATATTCACAGGACAGACTGAGGGAAAGAGGAAATCAGCACATAACATACTTGATGGCTTGAGTAAATGGGTGGTAGAACAGATTTGGGGAGAAATAGCAAAAAGACAAAACTTATTAAGAATTACAAGGGACCGGAAGATGTGGAGGGCCATGATCGGCTATGTCCTGAAGGGACACAGCACATAAAAGAAAGTACATATAAAAAAAATTTTGATATGTCATAAACATTTAAATATTTTTCAGCTGCTTTATTCTTTCAACAATAAATCTCCCCTTGATTTATTTGTTTATACCTTACCACTTCTGAAATACTGCTGCTCAGTCTGAACAACTGCTTACCAAGGGAGGTTACAGACTAATTTCTAATTATAAAAATTATAACATAGTACCTTAAATTTTTCAAAATTTTACTTTATGTGGTAGTTAGCCATTTTCTATCTTTCTCAGCGTCTTTCTGCTTTTAGCTGCTAGTGACCACGGTCTGATAGAGAACATCTTTCTTTGTCTTGTCAGCATTATCTAAAAACATTATTCATCAAGAACTCAGGATCTGACTACACTCAGTTGCCTTCTTTGTCAGGATCATTTGACCTGGTTCTTGGGAGGTCCACTCCATTCAGCTGACTTTCTTTGCCAAGATAACATAGTACCTTAAAGTTTTCAAAATATTTCCCTCAAAAAATGTATCAAATATTTAAGCAAAGAAGAATCCTTTAACAATTGTGGACCATCTTAGAAAAAGTATGTTCAGTATTTAAATATGTAGTATCGCAGCTCAGACCAGACACCAGTTTCATTTTCAGGGTGCAGCTTCTCCCATTCAAACACTTGTGTCTTACAAAATAACACTTTGATCAGATTGTCACCCATGAAATAAAACTATGAAACGATTATAGCAGTAGGCAGATTTTATTCAGTTGTAACCTGCTGTAGATAAGTGAAGCACAGGTGAGGGTAGTTGAGGTCGAAGTGAATTATCTAACGAGCATCTTACTTTCATGTGGCAGTTAGCAGTCTTCTGTTCCTTTCTGTTTTCAGCTGCCAGTGACCACTTTCTTATAGAGAACATCTTGTCAGCTTTATCTAAAAAATTATTCATCAAGAACTCAGGATCTGACTTCACTCAGTGGCTTTTTTGTCAGGATCGTTTGACTGCTTCTTCTCCATTAAGCTCACTTTCTTTGCCAAGATAATCATTAATGCAATTTCTATGATGTGTTGCAGGAGGGTCCTTAGCAAGATATCAGCTGATAGCTGAATTGCAACCAATATCAACATGTATTGATATACAGTGTGACAAGTGTGTTGCATTAACAGGGTAACAAGGAATTTCCTAAAATCTCAAGAAGTTTGACGGCAAAGACTTGATGAAGTATCTAGTATTTTGTATTGAAAACAACAAAGATGAGAACGACAATCCGAATAAACCAATGTATAATAATGACAATCCATCATGTAAAAAAAGTCAAATAAAGTGCAAAACCGACACATTTTTATTCTACAGATCATTATGCTTACAGTATGCGTCTCACCCCAGATCATGTTAGGAGAGACTTTGCTGCACTTATTGACCTTCAGAGAAGCCAGGGACATGGTTGACATGACTGATGACCTCCTAGCCAAAGATGGAGATTTGCAATTCACCTAATATCAGTGGTAAGACTGACTGGTGGATATGTGGTCAAACCAGTTGTGCCTGAGATGTGCACATGTGGGAAAGAAGCACATGACAGGTAAGTATATATAAACTTCACCCCCACCCCCAATAGAAGGAGTCTCTTATATCATACATGAGAATGAGTCCACATACAGCTGAGTGTCCCAGCCTCCTAACACAGAAACTGACAAAGTCCGGAATTGAATATGTACTGTTGGTTCCCCAAAAATGTGCAAAACTTTTCCCTCTCGCCCACTTAGGACACAAAAATGCATGCTGGGATATTTTTCTTAGCCAATAAAATGAAACAGCTTATGTTTTGACATGACTCAGTCCAGATTTGTCTTAACTACTAGACAGACCTACTGCATTCACTTGCCCAACTTGTGTACAAATACCAACTCATAGTTTATGAATTCTTTTGCCTTCTTACCTGTTTGATTTGCTTTAACCAAATTGTTTGCTTGCTTGCATGATTGTTGCTGTTTCATCTTTTTCACCTTTTTTCCTTTTCATTGCAAACTTTATTGATTCTTTTTGTTTTATTTATGGCTTCTAAGTCATCATGTACTATCGATACAAGTGGAAATTTCATGATTTTCCAATTTGGATCTTTTTCTCAGTCTACCAACTTTAACAAAATATTGCAATAACAATCATAAATATGAACACGGGTCATTATTTTCAAAAAGCAAGAGATTACAAGTGATTCAAAACTGACAAGATTTCATTGAAGCAGACGTTAAACACATGAGATCATTATTGCCTCCTCTATTTTCCCTTTCTTCCTTACTTTTTTTCAGTATTCACTTTCTTTTCTTAAAACCAAAAAGTGCCTTTGATAGATCATTTTTTCTGTTTCATGGACAGTGGGTAGGCAAGCTATTACAGTTCTATCCTTGCAATTGAAGAGGAACTGGTATAATAGTCTGAATATAAATAGTGTAAATAATATTTACCTATATCCAAGCTAAGTAAATTATTATATATTCAAATATAATATTTTTAAAAACATGACATACCTTTGTATTACAAAACAACGGACACTATTTGTTATAGTGGAACACACCTATTCTATTGTTAATAGACTCTCCCACCTATAATAAGTAAGAGTAGTAGCAGTCGCTAAGTGGCTCACTGAGTTGGTCAGTCAGTCGATGTCAGACAACCGTTAGTCAGATATTAAAGTATCATCCACCACAACTAGATTACTGCATCATTCACTATTATATCAAGTTCCTAACATTTTGTACGTTGAACCTATTTTAGGACCGATTTAGTGAAATACAAGCCTCCACTGTGAAACTACTCTATAACACTATTATAGATCTGAGAGAGAGAAGGAATGATGTAGGCAGTGAAAATGACTGCACTATATTGCAAGACATGGAAAAAAAAAAGATTCTCTGTAACTAAGAATTCAATCAAGTTTTACTTAAAGAATAATTACTACTAAAACTTATAATAGCATTTTGTTTCTGCTGTCTTCAAAATAGACAACAAAATATTTTTTATACTGATGAATACAAAAAAAAACTATTAATCATGTCTTGGAAGCACAAGAATATGATGAGATCAAATCAGGTAACATAAACGAAAAATCAATAAAATCAATCACTTTGATTTACTTATCAAAAACAAAACAAAATAATAATAATAACAGACATTTGACAGGTGACATTTTTATGTTAGAAAAATAGTGATTTATAATTACAAAATGTTGTTCCAATTCTGTAATAGGAATGTATATTTATTATTAAAATTTAACAATTTTGGCACAAGGCAGTAGAGGAAATGGGGAAAGGCTGGTCTACACCATCTTAAACCAAGCTAATAAGATTCACAACCTATTCATCCATTATGATTTACTTATTCACCACAAGAACTCGTCCATCGCAATCCAATCCAACATGTACCACAGGATCTCGCTGAGTATGTTACCACATACTCAGCGAGATCCTACCAAAACACCCATGGTATAAAAATTTCATCATATTTACTGTAATGGGAATGAGTGTAAAACACTTTCCCCTCCCAAGTTTATAGGCAGAAGCACACAAAGGCATGATGGGATTTCTTCCTAGCCAATAAAATAGCACAGTTCTCGGTTTCATATGACTCAGTTTTGGTCTGTCTTGAAATCAGAACACTATGTTCGTTTATCCAAAAATGCTCTTGTATGCCAAGCCCAATTCTTAGTTTGTGAACTTTTTGCAATATTACCGTTGCTTTGCCTTATTACTGTTAATTCGCCTTGCATATTTTTGGCTTGCTTCATATTATTTTTTGCCCTGTTCTTTTCTTTTTTCTTATTGTTTATTGCAAACTTTGTCAAATGTTTGTTGGGCAATTCTACCTTTTATTTATATTTAACCATAGCCACTCATTTTACATAAAAAAAGAGAGACAGTACGACATATCTTTTTAACTTGGGTGAAGATATCAATGCTTTGTTTTTGTTTTAAGACTGCTATGATAATAGTTAGTAAACTTACCAAAACTGACAAAAAATACTCATGAGCCAATATCTTCAGCTTTTGTGCAAAATGAACCATAACACAATGACCTGCAAGAAATTGAGGATACAAATAAAGAGAAATAACTAAAAGACTTGCAGAGATTTGGACAAGCAACCAGCAATATGTTACATGAGAATTTTTTTTTGCAACACCCATCAGTATTTAGTATTGTTGAAGTTATCACTAACATTTTTTATCAAGATTTACAAACTATATTTTGTTCAATTTCGCAAACCAATTGTTTTTAAAAGTTTATTGTACTAAGCTATGCACCCTAGTAAAACCAACTGTACTTTGTACCCCTCTACCTGTTTGCACTTCTCTCCAAAATTTGATTTTCATCAATGTATGGCTATTTTAGAGGGCATGACAAATGGACAGATGAACTAACGGAAGTCACACAATTCTATATATAGATAAAAGATAGATAGAAGTGACAATTACTATAACAGTGACAACTACTATGACTGTTTTCTGGAGGTTTAGTTGATAGATGTTTTGAACTTTTCATATTAACTGAAAGTTCTTGTTGAGAATTCTAGAAACTTGAACAGAGTCTTGTTTATCACAAAAAAGGTTGTACAAAATAGACACTGAATTTATCACATTCTTTTTTTTACCGATTTTAAACATAGCATTCTTTTTTACCAATTTCAAGTGTAGCATTCTATATTACCAATTTTAAATGTAGCATCCTTTTTACTAATTTTAAATGTAGCATCCATTTTTACTGATTTTAAATGTAGGCTAATAACTATTATATACTGTATCCCAGCTTCCAGGAATAAGATATGCTTGAAAATAATGTGAATGAATAATGGATGACTGATAAGTAAGGTCTCTAAGCTTATACAATAACTTTTAGACTAACCAGAATAATGAAACTGGTATCAAAATGAAGTACATCTCTTCTCAAAATTACAAGGACTGATTTATCAGTAAAATCTACATTCCTATTAAATAAGTTTTAGATTACCTAGAAGAACAAAACTGGTATCAAAATGAAGGAAATTTATTTCTCTTCAAAATTATGAGGGTTGATTGATAAGTAAAGCCTCTAAACCTATTAAATAAGTTTTATATTAGCTAAAATAATGAAGTTGGTATCAAAATGAAGGAAATTCATTTCTATTCAAAATTGCAAGTGTTAACTGATAAGTAATTTATTTCCTCAAAATTACAAGGGTTGATTAATAAGTAAGGTCTCCAAATTTTAAAACTTAAATAAGTTTTAGATTTGATGAATAATGAAACTGGTACCAAAATGAAGGAATTTTTTTTTCTCGCCAAGACTGCAGACTTATTTTCCAATATAATCCCCATTTTGTGGTATACATGTATCCAAATGTTCTATCCACTTTTATATTTCATCTGTGAAGAATGTTTCTGGTTGAATTTCAATCCAACTGTACACAGGAACTTCAAGTTCAGCATCGAATAAAAAATGTCAACTTTACAGTGATACAAAAAAAATTCTTTCAAGCTTTATTCTGCAGATGTATTGTGCGAATGCCAACACGTTTCATTTCTTTCATCTACCTGCGTTTTTTGATTAACATGCAACCTTTTCATTCCTAAATTTCTACCACAGATTGCTGCTTTATGAGTAACTTGGACATAGTACCCATGACTAACAAACACAATCAATCTGACTCTAAGCACATCTGAACAGGAGTTTATATCTTACTGAATACAGATCCATATATATTTCTCTTTCAAATGTTAGTTGTAGATATTTCTTATTAATCGACCTTCATCATTTTAACACTTTTCCTGTACTTTGACCAAATCATGAAAAATAATATCAATATAAAACTACTATTATTTTTACTTACAATATAACATAAAAGCAAGATAATTGGGATTTTATATTGAGACCAATGACTAAAATTTATTAAAATAATAACAATATGTTGTCATCAAAATGTTATCAGCAAAAATGGGTATTAAAATATTCTTTGGAAAAAATATGTGACAGCAACTATACCTGGGCATTAATTCCAGCCACATTTTTTTCCACAGTCTATCAGAAAGCATGACTCCTTTATTTTACTTACCACATCAGCCAACTCTTACCAACAAATGTGCATGTTCATTTTTCTAACTCAGCTTGGACACATTGAAATAACTGACCTAGTGAGATCTAAGGGAGATAATTTGTTAAATGTTTAAAACTCTAATAAAAAAAATTCCCTACCTAATATATATTTTAATAAGATTTTTGGATAAAATGGATTTAAGAAATAGCTTGTTCTTAGAAAATAAGGCATCCAAGCAGAAAAGATAACTTGACATCTTTTAAAGATAATCACATTCTCATAATGGTAGTACAAGAGGTTTTTCACTTAATTTCACACCAAACAGCTAAAGAAGGCGGGTGCCAAGATAAGAACTCAAGGGTGGAAATTCATGATTCAACTGATATTAGTGGCAACACCAAGATGTGAACACATGTGGTTCTTCTTGTGCTTGACATGTACATGCATAAGAGAAATTGTTGGACAGGTAGATATATAAACACCTATCCCAGAGAGAAGGGAGGTAGTCTCTCAGATGTTTTTAAATGAAAATACCTAATTCCTGTTGCCATGCTCAATCTTTACAAGAGTCAGATCAAACCAAGAATCGCTTATTGCTGCCTTATCTGGGCTGGTGCTGCCCAATCCCTACAGTCTAACCTTGAGTTCAAAAGCATTTACACGGCCTTGTGGGTGATGAATTATTCTCCACTCTGCAACCCTTAACCCACAGATTGCTAGCCTCTCACTACTATATCCACATTACTATGGTGAATTACATTCCTTAGCTCAAACCTGCTATGCCATGATCATGGCGGTAAAACCATCCCCAGGAGCAAGTTCCACTCAGAAGACAACTTCTTTACCAGAACTGTTGTTTTGCAGAACAGACTTCCAATAGGATGTTTCCCTAACAACAACAACAATCTTAATTTCCAGGGGTCAACCGATATCTATCCTTCACGTTTTTATAATATGCATTTCTTAATTCCTCCTTTCTCTTACAACAATCTCATTCAGTAACACTCTATCTTGATGGGCTCTTGAGCCTTGTATTTGGTGAACTATCAGTAAATAAAAAAAAAGAATGTTCACCTCCAGATGAGAGTTCCCAGTAGGGTGGAGTCACACACACCACATACTGGTCGACGGAAATTGAAGTATAATATTTGGGTTTTTTTTTTTTTTTAATGGCACATCAACTCATTATGGGTCATTTAATGCCAAAATTTAATTTTCTTAGGAGCCTGAGTAATTTTTTTTTCTTTTTACAAAAATCTATTGTTAGTAATTTATTCTTTTATTTATTTTTTAAACCTATACTTTCAGTTTTTTTTTACCCCAGTTTGAGAGTTAACTATTTGCCCATAGCTGGGGCCCTAACAGATGCTACTACCCTGGATCAGTCTGGACCTGGGAACAACAGCAATTAAAAGGTGGTTATATGCTCCTCAAAAACTCCCAATTATAGTTCTTTCTGCTGGATGTAGTTTATCATCATACCCAGGAATTGAGGCATAATGTAAATATGAAAGCTCTTTGTGTACCTCATTAATCAGCATCATGTTATCATTGATTTGCGCCTCAGTTTCATAGTTCTGGCGACTCAAGATCATAATGACTGAAACATGATAACAACAAAGATGAGGACATAAATGTAAATAATAGAAAAGATGGTTTTGACATTGGTTATAAATAAGAAAATATTTATAAGCAAATGTTTTAAGTAAAAGATTTTACTTACCTTGTGACTGCTGGCCACCCAACAGAGGTGAAACCAACCCTGATACACTATCACAAACAATGAGTCTCAAACCACAATAGAAGCTGTCAGTCTGTAAATAAAGTAAGAATTAATTAATGGTTTACAATTAAGCAGATTTGATAATTTATTAACTGTAAAGTGATATAGTCATAAATAATATGGCTGTAACACTTCAGTAACCTGCTTGACGGACCCTTAACAATTAACCTTATAGCATTGGTCCTCAGAAATCAGCACAGTTTGAGATTGACTTAATGCCCTCTCTATCAGGAAAATTGTTTTGGAGATAAATTTAAGGAGAGTACCAAGAAAGGACAGCATTCCTGCTGAGATATACAAAGCAGCAGGCACCAACACTGAACATACTATATGTCCGAGCATAGTATGAAAGCGATCCAACATACTGAACATTTTGACAATTTCTACATAATTTATGTCCAGAAAAGAAAAAAATTATAACACAAGAAAGATTAAATAAAAAAAAGACTTAACTGCAATTCCTTGTCTGTTATTTTTAAGGAAACTTTTTATATATATATATATATATATATATATATATATATATATATATATATACGTGCAATCTTGGTTTTCAAATGTCTCAAATGTCAAACAAATCTGTTCTCAAACAAAAAATTTGAGATGAAAATGCCTCAGTTATCGCACAAAATTTTGATTCCTGAACAACATTGCTGAACTGAGCTAACCTGAATGGAACAATATCTGAGTTAACTACTGTGTTGTATACATTCGTGCGTTGTGTTGTGCTTTTTTTTTTTCAATTTTATTGTACTTTGACATTTTTCTCTACATTGATTCCTACTGGAAATATAGTCTTGGTTTACTAATATTTCAAGTTACGAACGACCTTCAGGAACGAATTAAATTAAATAGGTTCCACTAATATATATATATATAAGAAACAGCCAATTTTAAGGGTTCATGGGATTATAATTTATAATGAATTTATTTCCTTAGGGCCAGGATTTTGGTCCTAATTCATCAGATCTCAATTTTCATACAGAAATCTCATCAGATCTCTATTTTCAAAAAAAAAAAAAAAAAAGAATATCTTACTTATTATAAAACACAGATTGTGTGTGTGTGTGTGTGTGTGTGTGTGTGTGTCTGTAACGTTTATATGTTGGATCGAATTTCCTACATTTTTTAGCCGATTTCAACAAAACTTCACAGGACTACATAAAATTACCTTGTGGTGGTTCTAACGGGGCCGAAAATGGGAAAAACACAGTTGTTTTTTTTAATAAAATCAATTTGAAAACACGATTAAGACACATCGTGAGAATGAAAGGGGAGAACTCACCCATGAAAATGTAAACAAAAGAGCATAGCATGATGAAAAAGACGCCGAACTTGACGAAAAAACAAAATTTTATCGTCTAATGTTCATATTATTATTAAAGAGGAAAGATCAAAATATTTTGGGGGGTATTTTTTACATTTTTAATCGTTCCTAGCACGTCTGAAATTTTCGTTAAAAATATTGTTTTTTATTTGGTCAAAAAAGGACAGATAATCATTTTCAATCATTTTTTTTTTTTGATAAAAAGATTAAAATCTTACTTTGATATTCTTTTAAAAATCAATTATCATTTTTTCAAAACTGATTTTAATGAAAACAGAAATTATACTGTTTATTTAAAATATTTTGAACCAAGCAAAAAAATGTAATTTGAAAATAAAACAAAGCAGGTCATAACCTTTCGCGTCGCTTGACGATTGACGAAAGTGCCTTTCATGACGTTTAGATAACTTACGGGAGGAGAATACTTTCTACGGATGGAAGGAAGTGAAATTATTTAAGTGAACAAATTATTTACCTTGTTACATTTAAGGAAAACTTTCAGCGCTCTAATTTTTTATTTTTTATTTTTTTAAAATTTTTTTTTGTACTTAACTTTCATTTTACGTTTACGATGCTTTATGGAAAATATAAAGAAATTAAAAAATAAGACTGTTAATAGTGAAATTAAATTTCATAAGAAAAAAGTATCTAATTAATTTAGGTACCTTTCTTATGAAATTTTATCAGAAATGTACATAAAATACTATAATTTTATGTACATTTATTACATTTTACTGTGTTATTTGTATTTCCATTCATTTTATTATTAATTTTGATATTTCATTTATGGAAAAATGTCATAACTGAGATTAATATAAAAAAAAGATCATATAAATTAAAGTTTAGCAGTAGTTAAATTTCATAAGATGATACTGTTACTTGTAGGTACCCTTCTCAGTTGAAATTGAAAACTCAAATTAACTTCTCCATACGTGTTTCACAAAAGTAAAGGGCTTAACAGCGGAGAACAATGCTGAACTCAAATAATGCAACTAAATTGTATTCTGGTTCTTCCGTTTGATAATTACTGTCCGACTATAAACACAAAATTACATTTCTTAATTACCATGGTAAATCTGATTGGTCCAAATTATACAAATTTTCAAAGCTAGACAATGACAATCTCACAAGGACATTTTGAAAGATTGATGTTGCTTTTAACTAATGTTAAAATATTTTTTAAAATTCAATTTAAAACATTCTTTAAAAATCTTTTAAAATTAAAGAAATAACAAATAATTGTATTAAAATTCAATTTTCATTGAAAAAAATTTTTGCTTTCAGAAAATATTGTCCATATTCATAAAAAAAAATTAAAACAAATAAAAGCATTTGAAACTAAATAATATATTTGTTTTATTGAGTTTTTTATGTTACAATTCATGGCTGATTTTCAGGTACGTTGGCCAAAAAAAAAAAAAAACATGATTTGCATTCTTCAAAGCATTGTGCTTTTAACTATTGTAATCACTAAAACCGATGGTCTCGAATTTCTAGAGTTTTTCATAAAATTAGTCATGGGGTGTTAATAAATATAAAAAAAAATATTTCTGCCATGACTTTAATAAAAAAAAAATATTTTATAATAATTTCGATTATCTGTGAATAGTTTCTGAAAGTTTCATTAACATCAGACAATTATTTTCATTTTTGCAAGATTTTCCAAATTAATGTGTGTAAATACAAAAAAACGCACTAAAAATTATCTATGTTATTTACTACCCCTTGTTGCGACAAAGAGAAACAAGGTTTTTTAAATCAAAATTTAGAATATTCTAAAAAAAATGGAAAAATTTTTTAAAAATAATTAAAAAAAAATTTAGTCTATCCTCTTCATAAAAACATAAGCATTTTGACGATAAAATTTTGTTTTCATAAACATTGGCGTCTTTTTCATCAGACTATGCTCTATGTTTTAGCAATTCCGTAGAGTGACTTAGGTTAAAAAACCCAGGTTGTTTATGTGTGTGTGTGTGTGTTGTTCCTTTATATATGGGATCGGATTTCTTACATTTTTCAGCCAATAAAACAAACATCCACTTTTTTTCGGTAGGTAGTATTTCTTATTGTCTTGCACACTTTTTTCTTTATTTACATTCAGAATGCTTTAAAAATTCCATTTACAAGACAATTGTTTATAATAAAATTCTATTCACCTATCGATAGACTCATAACGATTGTAAACAATGTTTTTGTTTGAATTTGGGTTTGACCAATTCGTCAAAAAAAAAAAAAAACTAATTAAGACATGCGTGTCCGTCAACCTTAAACAATAATCTTTGTCGATTTTATATTTCAGTCTTTATGATGGTCGATACTTGATCTATCTCTTACTGTTGCAACGCATGAGCTCTACTGCTAGTATATATATATATATATATATATATATATATATATATATATATACACACACACACACACACTGAAATAAAATGAGAATGAATCAAATATAAATTCAAACATTCATAACAAAAATTTAAAAATAGGGGCTCAATACAATAGTTGAGCAATATACTTTATTATAGGATATTAGATTAGAACATATGTAAAAAAAAAAAAAAAAAAAAAACGTTACATAAATGCACTAATGTTTTGATGCATATCATCACATCTCATCAGGCAGTAGTAAATAGTTTACTATCACCTGACAAGAAAAATATTATTCATTTAATTTATGGTGCAAACAAAAGTGCTCACTATAGTTAAAATGAACTATGAAGTATATATTAATAAATACGCATATACCTACATTTGTAGTGCAACTTAAAGTTTCATGATTTCCCAAGTCATCAGGCACAAATGGCAAATGAGCCACTTATTACAGTTGTTTTTTTTTTTTGGTTTTTTAAATACTCGGTCTCATGGGAGAAATGCTACATTAAACGCAAATTCACAGCTCAATGTTAATATAAACCCAATATATTATTAGGGTGTAAATTCAAAATATAGAGTGTATAGAGAGAGATAGTGGAAAAACAAAGAAAAACAAATAATGAAAGCTTAAAGTTTATATGGTACATGTTTTTTTTTTCATTGTGGGAGGAAAAAAAAAGATTTATCATAATTATCATTTGCTCTGTCCTTACACTGAGCTCTCCCTGGATCTATATCCTCTTTGGAATTATCCATAAAGATTAACAAATAATATCATATATATATATATATATATATATATATATACCCCTCACTGGGTGGGGGAAATATATGCACAAAGCAATCTTAAGGTGATGAGTAGCACCTGAAGATTGCATAGTGCATGAAACTCCAAGTTGTGAGGAAAAAATATATGTTTATTAATATATAATTAATAGCTTTGCTATATTACATCAACCACTAGTTTATAAACGCCAGCACTCAATGTATGATGTGTGATATCTGATATTCATATTAACATATATATATATATATATATATATATATATATATATATATAATGAAATGGACTAAGTCCAACAATTATTTGAATATATTTTCTTCTTATATGTTATTTTTATAGATACAAATATCTAAGTAAATGCTCCACTTATAATAAACAGTATTAACTACATTTACCAGCCTGAATGTACAAGAAATTTCATAGAAAATATGTGTCCTCCAACAGGCATTGAACCTGTATCCTACATGGAAACATCATATAGCCTGATATGCTCTACCATTTAGCTACAAAAGAAGCATCTTGTTAAAGTCAAATTACTGTTTTTAAA